TTAGTTACTAATCTATCGTAAGTAGGCTTAAAACTAACCTGTGTAACACTGCCATTTCTTTGCTTGAGAACTCACCTATAATAACCCTTGGAGTAAATAATACCATTGAATGGGAGACTAAATTCAATCCTCACGCTCATGGATTCTTTCTGACACTTTACTTCTATGTTGACGATCTGCGCCATCCTACCGGTGGGTGCCTGAGGTAAAAGCTGGGTGTCGCCAACTAGAGTCTGAGCCGCGGTAGCCGGTTCCTGTTGGCCAACATTAATCTTTATCTTTCTGTATCTGCTGGAATGTTGTGCCCAAGTCAGCTGAAACGTGTATATATATATATATGTATTAATGGCTGATACATGCATAAACATTCGTATATGATAGAACCCTGAAATATATATTAATGTTTTGTTTGTTTATTTGTTTATAATTAAGCACAAAGCTACACAATGGGCTATCTGTGCTCTGCGCACCACGGGTATCGAAACCCGGATTCTAGTGTTGTAAGTCCGCAGACATACCGCTGTGCCACTGGGGGGCATATATTAATGAAAGTTTGTTTGTTTGTTTGTTTGTTTTGGAATTTCGCGCAAAGCTACACGAGGGCTATCTGCGCTAGCCGTCCCTAATTTAGCAATGTAAGACTAGAGGGAAGGCAGCTAGTCATCACCACCCACCGCCAACTCTTGGGCTACTCTTTTACCAACGAATAGTGGGATTGACCGTCACATTATAACGCCCCCACGGTTGAAAGGGCGAGCATGTTTGGTGGGATGCGGATTCGAACCCGCGACCCTCAGATTGTGAGTCGATTAATGAAAGAGTATTATTCCTTTCTGGAGGAAACGGTTAATGATTAACTTGTACTCCTAGCCCCGATGAAACCGCAATGTCAATAATTGGCTGAACTAAAATGCTTGTTATCATTTTCTGCGAAGTAAAGGTCTTTTTTCTCAAACTTTATCGTCGAAATTAGATTAAACATTTATATACGTGTACAAAATGTGTGGTCGTTGTCATCTATAAAAATCGCGATGTCTTAATTGGATAGTTGATCACATTCTCTTTAAGTGATTGATGCCTGTGAGATGTGGTGTTTGAAAGGAAATATTAATGAACTTTCGAAGTAGAGAATATCTTGTAAACGTTTTATTTAATTCAAATCCTTTCAGTAAAACAACTAAAATTTTACGGTTTAAAATTTAAAAGGATGACAGAAACGTAACTAAAAAATAATAAATTTTTCAAATGTTTCTAAGCTGATACGGCGTTTTTCAAAATTGAACAGAGAAAAATGTAAACGTTAAACCTATGGTATTTGTTTTCTAAAGTTTCAGCTACTTAAAATAAAATCTAGGAAAAAATAATTAAACATCTGTTTGTATTTCAAATACTTAAAACATAGAAAGTTAGGATTACACAAGGCAAATTGGTTATATCTTTCAGTGAAACGCAGCGCTGATTGTCGAAATAAACGTTTTAATGTTTTAAATCACAATTTTGTTGATAACCCACGACAAAAAAATTATGTGAAATTAAATTACAAAATCTGAACTATGTTATGTGTAATTAAAAAAGAAATCCTTTGGTACAGAGCAGTGAATAGCGATAAAAAAGTAGTTAACGTAATGAGTAGAAACATGCTGTTTTTGTTTGTTTGTTTCTAATTAAGCACAAAGCTACACAATGGGTTATCTGTGCTCTGCCCACCACGGGTATCGAAACCCGGTTTTTAGCGTTGTAAGTCCGCAGACATACCGCTGTGCCACTGGGGGGCAGCATGTAGTTACTATGATAAATAAAAACAAAAACTTACCGTGATAAATAAAACTAGCATCAACAAAGAACGCATCTTCGATTAAATATTGATGAATGTAGGCAACAATACACTCTTCTTTTCCGCCTCCGATGGATCTTTAAAAAAAATTATACAAAAATAGAGAATAACTTCTGTTTATAAACAAAAGTAAGTTTTAAATATAAAATAATAAAAAAAACAAATTTTAAAAATTACTTGTTTTTTCTTTAGTGAAAATCTCATGAGTGTTGCAACAGAAATTAAGGCACTTTCACTTTTTGGTTTGTTTTGAATGTCACGCAAAGCTACACGAGGGCTATCTGCGCTAGTCGTCCCTAATTTAGCAGTGTAAGACAACAGCCCACAAACTAGCATAATAACTGGTGGTGCTGTCAACTCCAAGGTCGACTGCTTACTTTGGGAAATGAAACTTTAACAGAAATTACCCAGACACGACAATAGCCCACAAACTAGCATAATAACTGATGGTGCTATCAACTCCAAGGTCGACTGCTTACTTTGGGAAATGAAACTTTAACAGAAATTACCCAGACACGACAATAGCCCACAAACTAGCATAATAACTGATGGTGCTATCAACTCCAAGGTCGACTGTTTACTTTGGGAAATGAAACTTTAACAGAAATTACTCCAGACACGACAATAGACCACAAACTAGCATAATAACTGGTGGTGCTGTTGAGGTTTTCATTGAGTATTTTTTTTTTTGTTCGACATAAATATATTTTAATAGTTATGCTATTTCAGCCTGAATATATTTTAAAAGTAACTCACGGCGTTTTCAACATTTTCATTAATTTTTAAAATGCCTCTTAAATGGCCAAAATTGTGTGTGTTTTTCTTATAGAAAGCCACATAGGGCTCTCTGCCGTGTCCACCGAGGGGAATCGAACCCATGATTTTAGCGTTGTGAGTCTGTAGACTTACACTGCAATCCTAGCAGTGTACTGGCCGAAACTAATTCTAACTCTGGAAATTTAAAGTTGAGATAATCTACGTATTGTGGATAAACATTAGTGTGACTTGCGATTAAAAGTTGTTATACTTATTTAACATCCTTCTAATCACGCGCCTGCATATCTAACACAAAAACTATTATGTCAGAATAATAAGAAAATGATTCTTTAATTTCTAGGAACTACTCCTAGGAACCACGGAGAATTGAACGCCGATCTTTAGTATTATAAGTCCTCAAACTTACCGCTGACCCATGGGAGAAGTTTTAAGAATATTCGTTCGTAAAAAAAAACACGTTATGGAATGCAAAGTATAAAAGTCCAAACACTAATCTAAATTTTTTTACACAGAACTTAGAAAAAGTGTATTGTGTATTTATTACGTTAAGAGATTAAATTAGGCCCGACATGGCCAGGTGGTTAGAGCGCTCGACTCGCAATTTGAGGGTCGTGGGTTCGAATCCCCGTCCCGCCAAACATGCTCACATTTTCAGCCAAGAGGCGTTATAATGTGACGGTCAATCCCACTATTCGTTGGTAAAAGAGTAGCCCAAGAGTTGGCGGTGGGTGGTGATGACTAGCTGTCTTCCCTTTAGTCTTACACTGATAAATTAGGGACGGCTAGCGCAGATAGCCCGAGTGTAGCTTTGCGCGAAATTCAAAAACAACAGATTAAATTAACATTTGAAAAATTTGACAGGTTATTTCTACCAGATGGATTTTGTTTACATTCTCACTATGTTGCGTAGTAAATTCGCGTAACTTATGTTTTGTATTGCTTTTTTCTTGTGTTTGTAGCTGTACGGTCTATGTGATATTGTCCGGTGTCGTACTTAACAGTCGTTATAATCTATGAAATATTATCTGGTGATACGTATCTTAACTCTATCGTCTACAATATATCCCGTGATTGATTCTGTCATTTGCATCGGCTGTTTAATTTTGTTTCACGCTATCAAATGTGACATTTTTATGGGTGCTAAATACAACCAATTTTAAAGTTTCATATTAGGTTTATATTCAGCCGAAAATTATAAAAACATTAATTGAGATAAAACTCACTGCTTTTATCTTTCTTTACAGGTAGCAACATCTTATGGTGGCGACGGTTGATTCTTCTCAACATTTTGGGTAACCGAAGAGGAAAAAGGAAAGTTACCCGAAACGTCAAGATGAAGCAACTGTCGCTATCACAGGCTGTTGCCTACCCATGGAGAAACATCGTCAAGGAGCTATTAAGTTTGTTACATTTTAACTCAGGTAGGAAATAATATTTTCCTTTACGTGTGCAATGTTCAAATAAGTTTGTATTGGGTATATCGTTTGTCGTTTTTTCAGTTTGTATTTTTACTTTCGTGTGTGTGTGTTTTTTTTTTCAGTTTGTATTGTTACTTTTGTGTTGTTTTTTTTAGTTTGTATTGTTACTTTCCCTCATTTATTAAGTTTGTATTGTTCCTTTTTTCAGTTTATGTTGTTACTTTCCTTTGTTGTTTTTCAGTACAGTGTTAATTTCGTTTGGTTTTTTTCCTCTTTCCTGTTTGTAATGTTAAATCATGTAAACTTACTCGCTTTTCGGGAATGTTTCGTCCAACCTTTTTATTATTGCTCCACATCTTCTCTGCATTCCTTCACTTGTAATTTACACTCGAATCACTACTAGTACTATGGTTCTCTGTATCTTACACCCGAATCACTACTATGGTTCTTTTATCTTACACATGAATTATTACTAGTACTATGGTTCTCTGTATTAAAGAACCTTTAAAATATTTTCAAAATATTTTATTTTTACCTTTTCCTTCTTTAAAATAAGCCAATATTTACGGATGTTTTACTTTATTTATTTTTATTTTCTGATATTTTATTTTGCATTACCGTTTCTTTATAGCGTGTCTACGTATTTACCTGACAAAATGAGTTGAAAGAAAATAAAGTGTAATTGAAAATGAAATAGTAATAAGAATGAATCTTCCTATTTATGAAGAAAAGTAAATATATTTGTACGAAGAGGTTTAGCCGGATAAACCTATAGCAACGTTATATAGATTATTTTGTTTCAAGTACCAATGAATTTCTGAAAACTATATGCCTGTAAAACCAGTGCTCGAAGCTGGTCGGTATGCAACGGTATGTTATACAGGCACCCGTTGAATTCCTTGATTAACATAATGCCACTTTATAAGGACTGTTTTTGCATTCGTGAATGTTTAGAACCTGTAAATGTCTATTATTTTCAGACCATAATTTATCAGTTTTTCATCGCTACCATTGTCTCGTTCTAAAGTACATTTGATCGTCGTTTCGCAACACACTCTCTAACGAAGGTAAACTGCTCGCCACGCTCTTCCATACATATCCTTTACATTTACCTCCCAATCCACTCGCCTCTAACATAACGACGTTCCTTTGTCAG